ATCGCGGAGGGAGTCGGGATTGGCGGGTTCAGGTAGGGGTCGGGGGGTGGTCGGGGGGTGTTTGGAGGGTAGGGTGAGGGTTGGGGCGTCACCAGGGCTGCATGGACTTATAAGACCGTTTTTTTTTTGTTTTTTTCTATTTAATTTTTGTGAACTCGGTCACAGCAGTACTGAGAGAACAGTCGATATTAGGCTTGCACGAACACGAGGACTACCGTTGCCATCCGTTGCCATCTTCCAAGTTGCCGTTACCATCTTCCAGCACTTACCGTTGCCATCTTCCAGGTTGCGGTTACCATCTTCCACACGGCAACGCGATCACCAGACCCCTAAAGTAGCGAAATCGCGAATACCATTGCCGACGAAACAAGCGGAGACGGCAGAGGGAGAGAGGTTGGATGAATGACGAGAAAGGCAAAGTGAGAAGGAATGAAAACGACGAGGTGTGGATTTTGGGTGCAGGAGAACAATGGCGATGGAGGGGTGGAGTTTGGGGGTGGAGGAGACCAATGAAGATGGACGAGTCAGGGGGAATGAACACGACGGAGAGAAGAACGATGACGATGGGGGGGGTGAGGGGGAATGAAAACGACGGGGTTTGGGGTGGAGGAGAACGATGATCATGGGGGAGCGGAGGAAAGACGAGGGTGCGGGGAGAGAAGACCGAAGACAAGCACGATGACAAGCGAGGGAGGAGGAGAACTATGACGAAGTAGTGAGGAAGAGGAGGATACGATGACGAGGGAGGAGGGAGGAGGGAGGAGGGAGGAGGGGACCGATGACAAAGTAGGGAGGCGGGAGGGTCATCGGACATAAAAGAAAAAAGAAAAAAAGAAAAAAAAAGGCGTCAGTGGTGATGCAATGACCCCTGTCTCGAATAAAACCCAACCAATAATGCAATACATGTCTAATCGCTGCGCGCACAATAAAGTCTCCAGAGTCCAGAGTCGATCACAAGTCCATCTCCCAATTATGAGGAGAGATCGACGGTGATAGGACTTCGAAAACACGATGGGGAGGGTAATCGGGATTCCGAAAGAAAACAATGGCGGAAGATGATGGAGGAGGGATGGAGGGGGGATGGAGGAGGAGACGACGGGGAAGGAGGGAGGAGGGAATATGCAGGAGGAGACTGATGACAGAGGGGAGATGGAGGAGGAGACCGATGACGGAGGGAGGAGGGAGGAGATAAGATGGACGAGGAGACCAATGAGGGAAGAGGGAGGAGGGAAGACGACAACGGCGCTGCCTCCTTCGGCTCCTTCGGCTGCCTCCTTTGAACTGCTGCTTGCAGCTTTGCTGGCTATGGCTGAAAGATGATGCCAGGGGCTGCTTCGTGCTGCACAGCAGCTGGAAAGATGACGACTGCAGCGGCCAAGGGCAACACACAGCGTCCGCGAAGGGGGGCGTACTCGTGGGCCACCAAGGTGGACAACCGGACAGCGTTGGGCAGGTCTGATCAGTTCAAAATTGAACTGCTCAGATCTCCTCGGTATTTTTTTTACGGGGCCCGCGCGCGGCCTCAAAAAAAATATTGCCGCTGCTGGTACCAGTTCGCGCTAAGTGGCAGTCGGGCCCACACTGCGCACCGTGTGCTATGCGCAGTGTGGCGCATCTTGATGCGCCGCATGTACGCTGTGGTCTATTTCACTCTCTTTGTGATTGTCATTCTTGGAGCACAGAGCTAGAAGGAGTAAGAGAACAACAACAATGTTACAACACCTTATCAATAGACTATTATCTCAGTTATCGTCCTCCTACTCTTCTCCTTCCTTTGTCTCGACTCTGGTCTCTTTCACTCTCTTTGTTGTTGAAATGAGCTTCGCAAGCTGCTGAACTGCTGAGAGAAAAGGGGAAAAGGATAAGAAACCGGGGGGGTGGAACAGGCTATATTGCGTAGGACTTTGTAAGAAGACGTCATGTAAGGATGTGCCACGACCGCATTTGTGAAAAACAAGGAAAAATAGCAGGAAGGGATAGAAAAGTCAAGAGGGTGAAAGCATACGAATTTATCAAATGCCTTTTCTTTCTTTTTTCCTTCTTTTTTCTTTTTCTTTTTTTCTTTTTTGGGTGGGGAAGCGTGCACACGTTGTTACAGAGGACCGTTTTGTGGAACTGTCACCAACTTACTCATTTGAGATTTTTGCGGTAGCATCTGTAGCCTTTGCTCGGTCAGGGAAGCGTAGCTCTCGATGCTGTTGCAGTTCCTTCATCTCACTTGGGCCACCACCAAAATCACACATCCAATAAGCTGCAACATCTTTATCAAATCGTACATGTAGAGCCACGAACCTAAACACGTGCTCATCTGATCCGATATCTTCAAGTCCTTTCCTCTCTTTTGCATCTTCCTTATGAGCACCTCCACTTTGTCCATTGATGTCATACACATCTTCCTTACGAGCACCTCCACTTCGTTCATTGATGTCATATCTACTGTTTCCGGCAGACACATTCCTCGCCATCCCAACTGACAACAACTGTGTTTCCTGTTCCTGGAATGACACAGCGCCGTTCTTCACCCTTCCGGTGCTCGACTGCCCTGGGTGTACCAAACTTCCCTGACGGCATGGATGTTCGCTACAGTTTTTTGTTCCACTGGTGGCCGGCATTGACCCATCATTGTGCGACCGTGACCAATGGTGCAACACACTCTTCTCGGTGATGACGAGAGACAGCCAATACCTTTGCTTTAACCGTTCTATGAGGAGATTGCCCATCTGCTGGAGTGGTGAAGCAAACTTGAGGGCATGGAAATTGCATTTGCATCTGAGGCGCTGATTGCCATGACGACAGTCAACAGCAGGCCAGGACAAGATAGCAAAGGCCGGTGAGGATTGAAAGGTCGGAACCAAACAAATTATGCATCATGAGCTAGTGTCCACTAAGGAGGCCAGGACAAGATAGCAAATGCCGGCAAGAGAACAATTGCAGACATGGCTTTCATTTCAGCACCGTGACTGACAACAACAGCTGCTGATTGCTGTGAAAACAGCAACCTGCATGCCAGGGCGAGAGAGCAAAGACCCTTGAGGCCTGAGCAGTTAAAGCACCAGTGTCCCTACAGGGTTTTCACAATCCATCAAATATCGAGTACCTGCCAAAGCAAGCTTCTAGAGAAGGACAGATACAATGAGTTGCAGCGGAGTTTCACACAGGCACACAACATTCTGTTTGGCTTTGTCAAGGAAAGGGGCACACACACACGTTTGCAAGGGGGGGGAAAGGGGGGAGCAGTCACTCTTGACTATAAATACCTGAATATCCTCAGGAATGTTGTCATATGAAAGCCGATCAATGAACGGGGATAGGAGCACAACTCTATTCCTTCGTAATACTGGAAGCACATCGTAAAGATAGAATTTCGCCTGCTCTCTTTCTCGAATTCTGTTATCTGAGAACTTCATCACTCCAAATTGTGTGCATCCCATTGTCATCCGCACGCCACAAACCACGAAGACAGAAAACCAGTGATGTCGAGACTGCAATCAGAAACTGAGAAGACATGGCCCTTGCAAACGAGCTATGGAAAAGAGAAAGAAAGAGTCGACGAGCCAACATCGAGATATGAACATCCTTTTCTTTCCACACAATTTGTTTCTTCGGCTCTTCATTATAAATAGTTCACTGAGTCACTAGGCAAGTATGGCCTTCTAACTTCCATCCCTTCTAACTTCCATCCATTCTGCTTAGGATTGGGAATGGAATCCTTGTGATGGAAAGGCAGACAAATCATCAAAATTGACAAACCTGGCTGGCACTGGACAGAAGCAAAATGTAAGCACCATCCCACCCTGCTGCACAATTCAGCCTCTAAGTCATCAGCAGCACCATCCACCTACACAAATTGACATACAACCAGTGCTGGGCCAGTCTGTTTCAGGGCGTTCGGAAGGGTCCGTATGTGGAATCCGCATTAAAACTTGGAGTGAGGGGCGAGTGGGGCAGGGGGCGGTTGTGAGTGGGGGGGGGGGGGGGGGGTCACAGGAGCAACCACAGCGGGAGGTACCACAAACTTTGACGGCAGCAGGAGCAACATCAAACATGCTCAACTGCAGCAATAACAGAAGAATGGAAAGAAGAGCAAGATAAAGAAGATAAAGCATAGAAAGCTGAAGAAGAAGGAGAAGCAGAAGAACAAGCAGAAGCAGAAACCGAAGCCCAAGCCTAAGCCCACGCCCAAGACGACGACGACGACGACGACGACGACGACGAAGAAGAAGAAGAAGAAGAAGAAGAAGAAGAAGAAGAAGAAGAAGAAGAAGAAGAAGGAAGAAGAAGAAGAAGAAGAAGGAAGAAGAAGAAGAAGAAGAAGAAGAAGAAGAAGAAGAAGGAAGAAGAAGGAGAAGAAGAAGAAGAAGGGATGTGCTAGCGCCGACGGTTAGCGCTAACGCTCGCAACCCGTTCCTCAGTGGTTCTCGGTCGCCCTCATGGTGATTCGCGGTTGCCCTCAGTGCCTCCCCACCACAACAGTTCAGCGCGAAACGTGCAGTAACTTTTGAACCCCATCGTGCGTTTGAACTTTGGCGGGGAAACAACTAAAGAAGGAAGCCATAGCCACGACACTCATCAATACCACGAACGGGAACGAATACGACACGATAGAGGGAGGAAAGGACAAATGTGGTTAGAAAAGGAGAAGCGAGAGGACTAAGTAAAGGGTGGAAAGTGAGAGGACCAACAAAAAGGTAGCTTTTGAGTGGAACAAGAGGACAAAAAGGAAGGAAAACAGGGACTGGAAGAAGGGAAAAGGAGGAAAAGAAAGGAGGGGCCAGCGACAAGCTTCTTACGGAAATGCAGTTCTCCTATTCACAGGAAACTGCCAAAGCTCGAATGTGCCATCATTAAGCAAACTACAAGGGAGGAAAAACACCAAGTTCCTACTCGTCCTTTGCAAGGTGCCATGTTCATCTCCAGCCAAAAACGGAATTCCAACACACTTCACTATTTCGGAGGAAAGGACCAATCAGCCGATGCATGCATTCGGCGGTAGGGAACCAAGGAACACACTTGGATACCAACCGGGGACAAGCTTTCTAATCAAGGGTGATCCTAGGTAGGGAAAACTTCACGTGAATCAGTGGGCAGAGTAAGGAAGATTCTGGACTCATTGGATTCAGTAGCAGTTTAAGGAGTTTAGCAATCGCCTCCCACACAAACTGTAGTGACTTCGTGCTCAAATTGCATGCGCCAGGCAGCAGTACAAAGCAGGGAAGAAGACACCTCCCAAAGGACGTCAAGCCTCCCAAAGAACACAGGAAACGCCTTATACCTCGTTGAACACCAATCGGTTGCAATTGCGTCACTGGATTCTGTTTGGGAGCCAATCATTCAGGGTGCTGACCCTGACAAGTCAGGAAATAGTAGTTGAATCCATCGAGTCCATTATTCCACCATTCCTCTCACCCATTGCATCCCTAAACCTTTCAGCTGTTTTCTGTATTTGTAACTTTCTTGTTCACCCTTCACGACACTACCAATTCTGACCCTCTGTCTGCTTCCTCAGGTAGTTGTTTTCCTCGTACATGTGAGGGTTGCTCTTTTCTCATTGGATATCAGGGAAACAGAAGTCAAAATATCATCATCTACCAAACTGAGAACTTCAAACTTCTAAGTTCACTGAATAAAGACTGTGAAATTATAGCTCTATCTCGATGGAATGTTGCACGGGACACCGCCATAAAGACCCTTGCTGAGTAATTCCCAAGCGTCTCTCCCTTCACCTTTCCAAGACTTCTGACAAAGTCCAATATGCACTCTATTCAGCTCGGAGAGAACCTTACCAGCACGTACGGCAAGGCAGATCCAATGGGCCACACTAATCTTCGCTGTATTTTTACAATTTCAACGGACGTCCCAACATGTTAGACATATTTCTTCTCTACTCGGAAAGAGTGTCTTTGGAAGCTGTGTGTGTTTTCTGTGTACTTCCTGAAGGGAGGAGGTTCCTTCAGAAAACACACAGAGGAGGGATAATATTCGTTCTGAAGAAAACCTCTAAATTTGGTAATTTGAAATTTCCAACAATCAACCGAAACCCCACTCTCCCTTCCAAAGAGACTCTTTCCAGGTAAAGAAGAAATACATCTAACATGTCGGGACATCCGTTGAAATTGTAAAAATACAGCAAAGATTAGCATGGCCCATTCACAAGGATAACATATTCAATATCACTATGGTCCAATTTATTATTTGTGGGTGGGTGGGTGTGAGAGAGAGAGACAGAGAGGGAGAGAGAGAGAACTGACATAGACTGGGGAAATGAATGCTGCAGAATGTAAACAAAACGAAACTGAGAATTCAGAAGGCACACAGGTGGTGGTCGTAACCGGGGAAGAGAGACAGAGGGGGAGGGTAGGAGAGAGACAGACAGGCAAACAGAGACAGAAAGAGAGCTGACATACACTGGCGAATAGAATAGTGCCGGACGGACTGCTGGCTGGACCACCAGACAGACCAACAGACAAACTGACGGGCTGACCGGCGGACAGACCAACCAACGGATCGACGGACGGACCGACCAACTACAGATTGAAGGACAGACCGACAGATGGACTGACGGATCAACTGACCGATCAACACACGGACGAACGCATGGGCTGACATACCGGCCGGCTGACAAATTGACCAACTGCCAGAGACAGAAGGAGAGAGAGTAGACCTGCAATAGATTGTTGAAAAGAATATTGCAGAAGGTAACAAAAACGAGGTGAGATTAAGAAGGCATATAGC